AAATCTGATTGACCTGATTCAGCTTTGTGTGGATAAATGCTAGTGTGAGTATTCAACTATAGATTTCTATTTTAATAAAACTGCAAGAAAAGTAAAGTTTAACACCTCAGTCATGTAACTTTGTGCTTTTCAGGTTGTCACTTAGGGCCTGTTCTCAGTCTGACGTGAGGAATGCAGCTGTGTTTGTACTGTTGCAGTGTCTGGTGGCCTCTTTGCTCATGGTAATACCTTTGAGTGTATTATGTTTATGTATTATAATCATGTACAACATGACTTGAGCTTCCAGAAAATTTCCCTTAAATCACTGTAGCTTACAAAAAGGAAAATGAGAGCTGCACTGCAACTTCATTTTAGTTGATACTTTCAAAAGCGAATGCAGTTCTAGCCCCGAAATAAAAATCTATTCAAAAGTTCCTTGAAGTTATAGCTGTTTAAAAAAATAATATCATGTCTGAGTGTGTTTGGAACTGTTAGGACCTGCTGGTTAGGAACCACAATCAGAACACAGCCTGATGTCTTATCCAGATTAAGTTGTTCACAGAACCATAATGTTTTATATTATTTTCCCCGCTCTAAACTTTTATCCAGGCTCTCTCCAAAAACTTATATTTGAAACAATCCAACATCATTCTGAGTGAATGTATAAGAAAATAAGGCGAGGGAAGGTGGATCTGAACCTTTATTAGAAACCTGTCCTTTGACACAAGGTTCTGGGTCTGGACAAACAATATCTTACCTGTTGTAGATAATAGGTGCACGATAACTATCCCTTCATCAGGGAATTATGATGTCATACTTATCGGTCGGATATAACGAACAGAACCGCTAATTTATGTGCATGTATTCCAGCGTGGCAGTAAGTGTGCTTATTTATTTTTATCCATTTTGGTCAAGCCACTCCCTGTCCTGCCTGAGACCTGCACAACATTCGAGTGGCGTCGGAGAACTTTGGTGGTCCAGTGGTATGGGGGATATTTTCCTGGCACACTTTGGACCCATTAGTACCGATTGAACATTGTGTCAACACCACAACCTACCTGAGTATTGTTGCTGATCATGTCCATCCCTTTATGACTACAGTGCACCATCTCCTGATGGCTACTTCCAGCAGGATAATGCGCCATGTCATAAAGCTGGAATCATCTCAGACTGGTTTCTTGAACATGACAATGAGTTCACTGTACTCAAATGGCCTCCACAGTCACCAGATCTCAATCCAATAGAGCATCTTTGGGATGTGGTGGAACGGGAGATTCGCATCATGGATGTGCAGCCGACAAATCTGCAGCAACTGTGTGATGCCATCATGTCAACATAGACCAGACTCTCTGAGGAATGCTTCCAGCACCTTGTTGAATCTATGCCACGAAGAATTGAGGCAGTTCTGAAGGCAAAATGGGGTCCAGCTCGGTAGCAAGGTGTACCTAATAAAGTGCCTGTGATTGTATATGTACTTTGAATTTAACTCAAGTTAGTGCATTATCTGTTTTGAACATGTGGAATGCACTCTCTCTCTATTTGCACATATTTGTTTTGAATCAGAGATCAATTTTAAAGGTCTTATTTTAATAATTAATGTGCCATATTGAATTAATGTTTATTTGATATATTTTAGGAGATGTTTGCTTGCTAAGAGTTTATTTAAAATAATTTAAATTACAGAGTCATGAACCTCGGTTTGAAAAAAACAGCATTTCATTCTGACTGGACTGATGCACTAAAACTAAATTAACTTGTTGTCTTCAGCAACACATTAGTTGTTTAAGGAAAAGTTAAAGCCATCACTGAAGAGTAACCAGAGAAAAAAGACACAAACACAATATCTTATGTAAGCTTTACTTTCAAATCCTGTTACATTTAGATCTGGCAAGTTGAACATAAAATAATGCCAAAGAAAAACAAATACAAACAAGGAAAAATAAAAGTACAAATGATCTATTTACCAGTTATCGTCACAACCCTGTACAGCCTTTAACAATGGAGTAATAAAAAAAAGCTTTGTACAGCACATACCAATCTTTTCCAAGTGCCAAAAGTTAAGATAGTTGAGCCACTTTTTTTTCCTCTCATTCTAATCATAAAATACAGCCAAACTTAAAGCTAACGGACTGTGGACAGTGCAGTGAGATGCTGACAAAAACGCAACCGAGGGAGTTCGCTTGAAACGCAATTAAGTGCTGAAGGACCGGGGAGAGGAACGTATCATGCATACTGTGAAGTGCAGAAAAGGTAGTCAAGCTCAAAGAAAAGTCCTTGTGCTGCGTCCGACTGGGCAAAAACAAAACAGGATAAGTGCTCGAGATCAGTTTTTCTATAGATTAGAGCCCTGTTACCTTTTAAAAAACGCTCAACCTAATGGGGGACATATAGAAGTGCAGCCATTCGTGATTATTAAAAGGCAGACATTTGAGAAAAAGCAGACACATTCTCTCTCCTTTTTTTAATTTTTATAATTGTTTTATGTTTTTTTAAATTATTGGACCCTGACAATTAGTTTGACTCATTCTCAGAAGTCTCAGGTGGTTTCCTTCCACCAAGTGGCACTAGAGTATAAAAGATAACAAAGATAGTAGAGAAAGTGTGTGTGTGTGTGTGGAGGGGATTCATGCCAGACTAGAGCTAAAAACGTTTAAACAAACAGCCATGTTAAAGAGGATGGGGATGCGGGGCAGGCAGAGCAGGACGTGACGGATTCAATCCTAACATCACTTCCTGTGGCGAGTCACAATTTGGTCTCAACAATTCAGAATTTCAGTCCAATCAATGTTTTTCATGGTTAACAAGAAACAAATAAAAATAAAAAGAAGTTCAAGAGTTCATTTTAGGACAACGCATCAATAGTACAAAAGCAAAAAATTTGTATTTAAAAAAAACATTACAATAGGGGATTTTGGCTTGAAGACCACTTAGGAACACAAGCACAATCAATAACAAATAAAGCCTTCTTTAAAAAAAAAAAGTAAATATCAAATGCCTCCATTACGCTGCCTGATCTCGCAAAACGTCTTTTTCAGCATTTTACGGATAAATAGATATTCTCATAATCAAAAAGTGCAGCACTGTGCAAAACTGGCTAAAACAATTTAGCCTGGGACCTTTAGTTCCCAGGAGGGAGGAGAGCTTGACTTCTACTGTCTAATTCCTGCTATTTGTGTTCATTGACTTTCTCTGATTTCACAGAGGCAGACCCTTTTTACACCATCAGAAATGACCAGAAACTAAATAAAAAAAAAAAAATAATAATAATAAAAAGGGGAGGGGTGTAAATAACTGCTAATCCGTTTAAATTGGTGGATCTACGCTTCTACTTAGAATAAAAAATGAAAAAAGAAAGGTTTAAGTGCTTTTGGTTTAAAGAGTAATAATATTAAGTGCAATTAAAATAAAATGAAAATAATAAAGTTGACAGAAGGGGAGGAGGTGGTGGGGACAAACTAGACAAAAAAAAAAAAAAAAAAACAGTACCATGTTTGCCTGCCTAACAGAAGCCAGTGTCACTGAACACAACTGCTGTACAAACTCATGGCTTCACTTCATCATTGCACCTTCAGGAGCTTCTTTTTCTCACGGCTTCTCTACGAATGTTAGTAAAAAATGTTTCATATGCTGCAAAAGGCTCAGTAAAAAACAAAAACAAACAAAAAAATAAAACAGTGAACATAAAAACAAATGAAACACAAAAATAAAAAGACACAGAAAGGCCACCAAACACTACCTTCCCCATCTTTAACCTGCACTAAAGATGTCCCTGTTCGCACTTCTGTATCGCATCTTTACATGTACATAAACAAAAATACATTCATTCAAGTCATTTGGGAACAGGTTTTTTTTTTTTCTTCTTTTGTACATAAAAATTACAAAAAGCTCCAAAAAGCACCATTGAATCGGCCTGTGGTGACTTGACTGTGGGCAGCTCGCTGACCCAGAGCAGGTCACCTCCACAAAAACATCTCATATATCTCTTCTGTGTATGGGAGCGTGAGCCGTAGTTCTGCATATGATGCTGTGCTGATATCAATCTAGTCTCAGATAAAAAGGAGGAAAAAAAAGTTCCATGTGGTCACATATTAATTGTCTGTAACAGGGAACCCCCAACTGCCGGGCTGCAAAATATTTCTTACAGGCCAAAAAAAAAAAAAAAAAAAACAAACAAAAAAAAAAAGCATTTTGTACCGTACTGACACCGTCTGTGTGGCTGCATCGTCTCTAACAGGAGTCGAGGGGAAGAGAATCTGCAAATTTGTAACATTACTTGAGATTGTGGACAATTATTTTTAGGCTTGAGTATTTTTTCTTTTAAGATAATGTTGCGCGTATCGTTCAGGTATTCCATTTATTTATTAAAGTTGGGGAGTTGAAATGATTTAAAGGACTCATATCGTGCAAAATCCACTTTTTTTAGCCATTAATTGCATTTTATTGTGTACTTGGTGTTTCTAGGAGTGCAGAAAATTTGAATTTAGTGTCTCCCAGTGCTTTTTGTATATCTTTATATTTAGTTTTAATCACATTTTTCAAACAGTTCAGTTTTCTGAACTATTTAGTCACAGAATTGGCGAGGGAATTGCTAAATAAGATCTGACCAACTTCAATTTCATTGTCTTCATTTGACTCTGGATGAACAAGTCTTCCCCTGTTGGCATCTTTTAATGAATTTGTAAATAAAAGATTTCTGAATGAATGAATGATACTTTAATGATCCCGTGAAGGGTAATTACAATTCTGTGCCGCTATATAGTCGTAAACCATTCTATCAAGCTACAATGAACTGCTCTGGAAGCTGAAGGGGGGACGGGGGCGTGAAGCGCCTCGTTTCTATTTAAATAGCACCAAAAGGAGATGCTTTGAGATACACTTCAGAAAAATAATAAAATAAAATAAGTAGGAATTTAAACCAAAGCATTGCAATTCCACTTAATATAGAAGATTTAAAAGCATGACATGTCTCCTTTAACTGAAAAACTAAAATAAAAAAACAAACAAAAAAAAAAACAGTGGTGCTACTTCCAATTCATTTATTCATTACTGTTTATATTTTTGAACTACTTATTGTCCCCCTCAGTTAGAAAAACAAAAAATATTAACGTTTAGAACAATAAACTTAAATCAGGTGTTTAATATAAACCAAAACGTGGCATTAAAGAGATAATTATGTTTTAGATACGTGTTGTGAAAAATCACCAAGTTGTGTTTCCTGCCCTGCAAGGAAAATATGATATTTACATAAAGTCACAGCGACTGAGATTAAAATATTGTGCGTATGGATTGATGTGCTTTTAAGCTGTGCTAAACATCCTAAACAAACTGATGTCCGGAAATGCTTTTTGTGGTAGAATGTACAGTTATTTGTTAGCATGAAACCAGTTTGCTGCGAAAGGGGGAAAAATAAAATAAAAATAAATAAATAAAAAAGTAGTTGGGGAGCCCCGGTTAGTACGATTTCATTGCTTATTCATCTGTGAGTGCAAATGTGTCTGCAAGACTTTGCATTTCTATTTAGATTATCTGATAATAAATGTCTCTTTGCTCGTGTGATAGTTCAGATCGGGCATTTTCCATATTTACATCATCACAGCTTATTGTCTGATCTTAAAAAAACAAACAACAGAATTATCTTTAGACTCTGAGACAGAATTGAGATCAGTCGACAGCAACGCAAACACGCTTTCACCATCATACAAATAAAAACTAAACAAACAACTTAAATCAAAAAGATGAGAGAAAGTAAGGGGAGGGCTACAAAACTATGTACAAGTTTGATAAATAATTAAGTGCATGGTCTGAGGCATCGCTTTGGAAACGTGACCTTTTTCGATGAAAAGCGTTCGGCTTCATTGGTTGTGTCCACATTGCACCGCTAACACTTTCAGGATCTCTCCAAATTCAGCTTCCTAATGACGTCAAAGCTGGCTGAAACACAGAAACTGTCATGCTATTTCAATGCATCATAGCAAAGGACAAAAAACGCACTAAAATATAGCATTTGCAAAGTTTGTTTTGTCTTTTTCAAAATTTCATCTTGTCAAAAGACTAAAGAAAAAGAACAAAAAAAATTCTATAAAACTGAGATCAGTTAGTTTCATAAGATAAAGCGACTGGCTCCAGGTCATTCAGAGGCTTACAAACAGAAAATAAAAAATGGATAATAGAGTCTAGTACTTGTAGTAGTAATAATTCAATTGATAGAACTGATAAGAAAAGCAGCTTTTTGATATAAATGCATTTTAGCATGTACAGCGTTTTTCTCTTATAAACATTTTTTTGTTTGTTTTCTTTAATATGTCTGTCTGGTCCAGCTTATTCTGCTGGTCTGATTGGAAAAGACGTTGCTCCCACTGCAGCGGTCAAGAGTCATCCACGCCACTGTCCAGGAGGGGCAGGGAGGGGGAGGTCAGACAGTTTTGGCCCTCTCCATCAGTCCCAGGTAAGCCAGGAAGGAGTGTTTGTGGGAGGCGGGCGACGGGGACGCCGGCTTGGAGGAGACGATGAGAGGAGGCCGCCGCCTGGAGTGGAGGTGCGAGTGGAATGTGGAGCGGCTGCTGTGGGTGAACAGGGTGGTGAGGGGGATCAGGTGGGCCTGCTCGCAGACCCTGTACTGCTCCAACATGTGGCGGGAGGAGGGAGGGAAGAGGGAGGGGCTGGCGCTGCTGAGGGCGCCGCGGCCTTTAATGGCGTCGCCGCGCGGCGGGCTGGTGGGGTCTGACAGGCGGGACTTGCCCAGCGTGAGCGACAAAGCGACAGACTGGAGCGCCTGAGACGCCGTTAGGCTCATGAGGGGGCTGCTGCTCCCGCTCCCTCCACTGCTGCCTCCTCTGCTGAAGAGGAAGCTCTCCTGGCTCCTCAGCAGCAACGACGAACGCCTCGGTGACATGCCTTCCGGAGGCTTCTCTCCTCCCGCCTCCTCCTCGTCCTTCTCCTCCCCTCCTCCCAGGCCTCCTTCCAGCGGCCCCGCCCCTCCGCTCTGGTGTTTCTTGAGGTGGCGGCTAAAGACAAACGGGTGTGTCGTGGTGAAAGGGCACTCTTGGCAGCCGAAAGTCTGGCGCGGCGCGTGCTTCAGCTTCTTGTGCAGGTTGAGGTTGTCCTTGCGCTTGCAGCTGTAGGCGCAGCGGTCGCAGTGGAAGGGCCGCTCGCCCGTGTGCACGCGCACGTGCTCGATGAGCTTGTTGGCCGTCTTGGACAGGTAGCCGCACTGCTCGCACTTGTAGTGGTTGCCGAGGCGGTGGCCCCGCATGTGCGCCTCCAGCGAGGCCTGGTCCGCCCACAGTCCCTGGCAGATGCGGCAGCGGTACTCCATCTTGCAGTGCGTCTTCAGGTGGCACTCCATGGCCACCGGACGGTTGGTGGAGTAGATGCAGAAAGGGCACCTGGGCGACACAACGAGGAGGGAGGACACGACACACACGGAAGCAGAAGACAGTTGAAAGGAAAGTGCAAACGTTTCCAACCATGTAACACACCTTGACATCCAGAAACACAAAACAATGAGGAGGAGGAGGAGGACAGATAAAGGACTGGACAATGCAAAGTTGTGTGTACGCATGGTGATTATGTGTGGCGTTTTAATGGTAGAAGTGCTGAGGTGATCAGATATAGGTGTGTGTGTGTGTGCGTGTGTGGGAGCAGGAGGTGACAAGCTGGAGGAAAGATCGGAGCAGTAGGACATGAAGGGAAATGAAGGAATGAGTGGCACTTACATTTAAATAGCACCTTTCATCTGCTCTGGGCCCCAAAGCGCTTCACAAACCCTGCAGAACAGAATCACCTCAGAAAAACCTCGAAATATCAAGGCCCTCTCTCTCCCTCTCAGCTACATATGGAGAAACACTTCACATCGCACACGTCCGTCACACTCCTTTTTTGTCCAATTTCAGCTACCTTTGAAAGGAAATTTAAGGATTCGCATAGATGAATAAACGGCTTCAAAACTGGCAAAATTTAAAGTGTGACCCACAAGACATAAATTTAATTTATAACAGGGTTCCTACAGTTTAAAGCAAGTTAAATTCAAGACTTTTTAAGACTTTTTAATGCCAAGTGAAATTAAATTCAAGACCAATTTCATAACAAACACAAACGACAAAAAAATAAAAACTGGCAGAAACTCATGAATCAAAGTATTTTTGGTTGAAGTATTCAAATATTGCTAATAGACCAAGTGTTTTTATTCATATCTAACTACAGCAGAAACGTTCTTAGCAGTCAGTTTTAAACTTAAATTAATTTCAGGAAATCCTCTAACAACCAAAAATGTGTAGTTTTAGGACCCACACTATTCGCTGTAGATGAAACCTTAAAGTTTGACATCAAATTTTTGTAAGAAAAGTGAATACATTTTTGGAAAACAACATTAACATGTTGCAAAACAAATTTCACACAGCTCAGATGAAGGGTTGTTGAGATATTTGCATGTGAATAACAGGAAGTGATGTCAAAGGGGAATGTCTGCATGTGAATATTTAAAAAAAAATTTTGTCCATTTTAATTTGAGATGAATTACAATCATCCTATTTACAATGTGTTACTTTTAAGACTTCTGATAGATTGATTCAAGACATTTTAAGGCTAATTAAGGCCTTATTTTTGGATTGATGAATTCAATGTCCTTTTTTCAAGACTTAAGGTTCTGCAGGAACCCTGTATAAAAAGGTTTTTATTACTCATTCCAGTCTTTCTCCTTTGAACGAATGTTACAAAAAATAAATAATCTGTCTTCATTAAACATTTACACCAGACAGAATAAACAGTTTAAGATTTCTTTACATTCATTTAGCCCACACTACAACTGAGTCAAGTTAAAAGAGGGGCTTTATTGTGTGCACGTGTTCTGTTTATCTGCTGGTTTTCTTTAAAGACAAACATCAGCAGGTTCCTACACTCATCCAGTGAGATGTGTTCACTTCCAGACAATTTGACATGCTGATACTGATGTCTGCACTGAAAAAAAATGTAGCACACAGATTGTTTTGTTCATGACGTGATGGAGGTGGTAGTCGTGATATTTAATGGTTCTGCACATGCACAGACTGGAGTCACCACTTAAACAAACAACAACAAAAAAAAAAAAAACTTGATTCGTGTTGCTTGGAATGATTCTTCACAGGGTCTCTGCAGCTTGTTCCATTTTGGCTATATGTTTATGATTAGGTTAAAATCAAACTCTGTCATCTGTTTGTGGTGTGTAGAGGTCAGCTGATGGGATTTTGTGTTAAGTTGAAAAGCCTGAAATGAGACATAGATGTGTCACAGTACAAGAAGGCAATAAAGGGGCTCGATGGACAGGGAGGCATCAGAAAACACTAAAACTAGACTGAATATTTAGAATAAATTAATGTAAATATTTACATATTGTACATAAGAAAGTCTAGATATTCTGTGTGTAAAAAAACCCTAAAAACGAAAACATTTTTGGCAAATATGACCGTTTTGCTTTGTTACAGAAGTGATTGAGATATTAGAGCTTATAGAGTGTGTGTGCTTGTTTCAGGGTCCTACCAACAGATTTTATATTTTATATACTCAGCTGTATTGTATACAGAGACAAGTGTCTGTCTTTGGGCGGGGAAAGTAGCTCGCTGCAATATAGAATCCCGGAGATATTTTTCTTTGGCATGGCAGTTAGCTGTGGGCAGAGGAACAACAGACCCTGAGGGGAAGCCCATTTCCATCTCCTTTCTGCGCTCCCTTCTGTTCAGAACAGCCACTGCAGACCCACAGACCACTGCCTAATAAGTCAGACTTGCCAAGAGACGCTGTCAAGCAGCAGAACTGCAGCTTGTATCGTTTTCATTTCCTGGCAGCCGATAACGAACATAGGAGTGAGGTTAACTGATTAAAGCCACGCGGCGAAAATCGTCTTCGAACTGACCCTGCATCTGTGCTTCTGTCCAGTAAATCAGCATTTACAGGTGTCGTGTGTGTGTGTGTGTGTGTGTGTGTGTGTGTGTGTGTTTGTCTGGAATGCTGCTTATCCAGGCAATGTGGGATCAGTGCAGTTCGACGACAATGCTCAAATTCACATCAGTTTAAAGTTCAGATCTTTGTGTAATGATGGAGAGGTTAGGTACTGACTTCATTCCTCATTTAACTTAATGTTACACTTTTTATTTTAAGCTGAGGATTCTACAGGAAGTTAACTAGTAAAATAAATAAATAAATAAGCAAACCTACTGTGAAAACACAAGTTGGGTTTGCCACCAACATCAGGATCCTCTCAAAGTACAGAGAGTTTGTTTCCAGCTGCAGGTTTTAGTTTTCTTTCAACATGCGTCAATCACTGGGATTTTTTTCCCCCTCACGGCTGATTTTCATTTTAGATTTTTGTAAAGCTCTGACCCGCCAGTTCTAATTTCAGTGGATTCCAATGTCTCAAACATACATTTGTGTTTTTTTCCCTCATTTCTGGCGTAATTGAAAGTTTGACTGCGTGTGAAGCACCAAATCACAGATTGCGTCTCTGAAAAATATCTTCTAAGTTGTTAAACAGTTAGGTCTGTATAAATAAGATTAAACAAAAAACAGTATATCTAAAAACATGCCCACCTTTATAAAGAGATCTGTGATCTCAATGTGATTTGCCTCATTAAATAAAAGTAAATAAATATCTACTTTATAAGACAGATTAAAGTTTCTTAACAAATTTCATTTATTTCTTTTTCCAAGGAATATTATTGACAAAATGATTTTCGGTTAGATGTGTTAAAATGTTAAATAGTTAATCTTATTTTAACATGTGTGGCAACTTTGAGCTGAATAATTTTAACAGTTAAATTCTCAAGTATTCTGCATTTGTTCCCTGGTTGCTAATTATATCACATGTTCAGATGGCAGCTGAAACCCTCAGACAGGGTGAGCAGCAGACATCATTTCCATAGACTTTTCCATGGACTCTTGAATGTATTGTGATGCCTTTAACTTTTTTTTTAAACAACTGACTTTTTCACTTAACCACTTCCACAGCTAAAATGTACTTCAAACGAATAATATATTCAGGTAATTTCCTTCAGCATCGATGCATATTTACCCAAGCTGTGGTGTTTTTACTGACCAGACAACACAGTAAGCAGTTTTCTTCCTGCCACTTACCTATGACGAGAGGAAAAAAAAAAGTTTGACTCTCAAATCAATGATAACCACTTCTGGTCACCAGCTAATGAATTGGTGCATCCCTATTTTTTTAAATAGGGATGCACCAATTCATTAAGAGAAAACAATCAAATCTAGCCAGCACAGCCCTGATGATAACACGCTGAGTGGTTGTGTTTGTAGTGACTGGAGACGATGATGGAGGGGGAAGGAGCGGTGGAGTTAGGAATCTGTGTCTGTACTTGCTTTCCTTACTTGAGCCCTCCGGAGGGGACGGTGTGGCACTTCTTGTGCTCCAGCAGCTGCTCGGGTGTCTTGAGGAACTTGTGGCAAACGTCGCACTCAAACATTCGGGTGATGAGGTGGATCTGGAGGTGGCGTTCGTACATGCCGCGCATCTTGCACACAAAGTTGCAGAACACGCACTCGAAATCTGAGGAGAGCGGCGGAAGAGGGGGCGGGGTTAAAACCGGGTTGACTGGACGGAAACATAACCCTCGTGACTTCAAATACTTTTCATGTGTGAAATCGGAGCACTATGTGAAGTTTCTTTATAAAAAGAAAAAAACAACAACAACAACATAATAAGGTAATCCTACTCAGTTTGAGCCCGGTCACAAACACAATTAAGTAAATTAAATTAACACATTCTCCTGTCGTTTCTGGACTCATCTGTAGCGTTCTGTAACACTTCCACATTAACATGACCAGGCCTTCTCGAGCACCGTCATGAGTGCTCCAAATGTAGTAAAAACGGGTTTAACGCACTTTTAAAATGATGCTCTTCATCAGCTGCTGGTATTAACAAGGAGTCATGAGCTTAAATCTTTTTGCCAAAGCTTTCACAGCACATTTCTTTTTATCTGCCACTTCCTGACTGCTTTAAATCGGACAGGAAGGAAAAGGCTGCATACTTCAACAATCTAAATGTTTGACCACCAATTCAAATCAGACTAAAGCTCTTCCAGACTGAACCGTTTGAAAGGTTAGACGATCAATAAATAATACCCCAAGATGCTGGTAAATCTTTGTGGCATGTGTCGTCACGCATATTTGATGCTGCAGAGAAAAGTTTCAAACTGAACGCCAAGATTTTGTGACAGAGGTGGTCTGGTTGCCAAAAGTCCCCCATACAAGTCCTTGCCTTTGTCCGACTTGTCCTCAGTTCCTGATCCTGAGTGACTTCCAGAGCTGGTCTGGCTGCCTGCGGAGGAGGGCGGGGCTAGCAGGTTCTTGAGTTCTTCATTACCGTGGGTGACGTCTCCACCCTCGGAGCTGTTGAGCGAATCGCTGAGGGCCGAGAGAGACGATGAGGTGCTCTTGGTCTCGCTGAGGGGACTTCTTGAGTTCAGACCTGGACACAACAGCAGAAAAAAAGACTTTTTTTTAACAACATGGCGGTAAAGTGATATTGAGTACTGATGGTGGGGATCCAAATTTTAATTCTAAACAGAGATATTTGAAGATGCATTTCCAAAAGCTCTGAGCCGCGTGTTTGGAAGGAAAATCCAATCCTGGTGGCTGCCTTTGTTATCTGCATGCGTACACTCCCCGACGTGCACACAGGCAGAATAAAAGCAGGCAGTCTGAACTGAGAGTCCCCGCTGCCAGTCCAATCAAGATGCAGTGTGCTTTTATTGATCCTCTTCTCTAAGTCCACAATTCACTGCAAAGAGACGGGGAATTAGAAAGAGGAGGGGGGCAGCAGGGAGGGCCGAGGAGCACGGGTCATGGCCGAAGGATCTAAGATGGCGGGAGCATCTCAGGGCACGGCTCAACAAAGGGCATTCACTGGAGAGGGAGTGAATGGAGGGAGGAAAAAAAAAGCCTGCATAGGTCTTAAAAAGATTGACCTATCTTTTTAATACACGCACATACAAACGGGGAAAGCCTATACGGCTGTACGAATGCAGCGGGTCTGCTCTTTCAAACAGGGAAATTATTCTGAAATGGAAGATAAATAAATCGATCAAATCTATATATACCAGAGCTGCTCACAGCAGGGTCTCTGCAGCCTTTTTAATAAAGAAATGAACCAACCTTTGCAGCTGGCTTTATCATCTACTTGCTTTTTCTTACATCTATTCTAAAAGGCTACTGGCAAAACAAAAAGGCTGGGGAAGAAAAAAAATACAAAACATGCTTCTCTGGCCCAGTGGACTTAATTTTAAAACACACTTTTAATCAAACGGCTTTCTTTGTGACTTTCGTGATGTTAGAAAAACCATTACGAATGAGCGTTTGGCTGCTGAACTCTGCCCTCTGTCCTAACCTCAGTCTTAGGTGAAACTTTAAGCACTTCCCTAAACTCAAGACCCTGACAGCTCAATAAAATCTTCACGAGGAAGGCAGCGTAATCGTTTACAGAGCTACCGCATCTCTAAAGTCACACGTTTGTGGGGGAGCGTCCATCTTGTGCGAGACAAAGATAAACGCCACACCAGGCTGAGAGACTTAAAAGTTGACCACAGTGGCATCGTAAAGCCAGCCTGTCTCTAAAGGACCTGAGGTCTATTGATTTTTCTTCTCTCCCCCCCATAGGCACGATAAGGGCCAACCTTCTCAGATAAACAAGGCCATCGTGGCCTTTGAAAGACCCTTCAGCCGTCTGGGCTGGACGATCCCACCCACCGACGCAACCACACACACATACACACAACGAAACGCAGGAAAAACGACATGTTAGGTTCAGTGGAAGAAAAAAAAACGTCCTCAATAAACTGAACAAAGCTGTTTTAGACAAAACGCTGATATCGACAAACGGGGACTGAAAGAGGGTCGATTAGAGGAGGCCTGTTTGTGAAACAGTTCTCCTGCTCTTCTGGCCCCGACTCCTCTAAACCGGTCTGACTTTGTGTTTATAATTTATTTTATTTCCCCCTCGCACATACCATGCTTTGATTTGAATGTAAGAATTGAACCAAATAAAACAGAATATAATTGAGTATCAGCAGGCGTGAAAACATTTTTTTGATTTAAATCTCTCTATGCAGATGCTGAACTTGTTGGGAATGTGACGAGTCTTTTTTCCATGTTTTCTCCCAACTTCCCTGAAACGAAACAGCTACTTTAAGGATGAGGTCTTCCATGTTCAGATTTAGTGTTTATAGCTGTGCTGCAAAATATCTGGGTTGCACGGGTATAAAACCAGAAACTCACTTCTTTTTTTCAGTCTAAATCCTTTGTGTCCGAGTACTGAATCAAAACAACAGAATATGTGTTACTGTCAAAATAGACTGCACTGCATTTCTATTCTGAGACCTAAATGAGAGCCACAATGTGTAAGCTACCACCCACTCTTACATGACCGAGTGAAACTTTAAGAAAAAAAGCAATTTATTTTGAAGTGTCCGACCAAACGTTTCTATCCAGCACTGAAGAAAGACTCCAGATCAAATAAAATGAAACCGTTGCATAAAAGCTGAGTTTTTCACACCAAATTTATTCTGAGAATGAAGAAAATAAGAGTTTCGAGCGAGCTGTAAGACGTTTGCGTGTCACTCTACCTGCGTGTCCAGCATGGATGTGGCTCTTCATGTCGTTCTCCTCCATGCAGACGTAGTCACAGACGCTGCAGCAGAGTGAGAACATCCACTGCTCCTTATCCACATGAAGCGACATGTGGCTGACAAACTGGGCATTCAGCTCCGTCTGGAAACCACACACATGGCAGCTGGACACAGAACAGACAGACAGAGAGAGAGGGGGGGAGAAAAAAAAAGATGGTGAGAATGAGACGAGGGAGGCAGTCAGATTTAGTGTTATATTTTGCCTGCATAAATTAGCAAATGTATGCTGCGTCTACATTCCTTTTAGTTAGATAAAGATGACAGAGTGGAAAAAAGCTGCCATTTCTGAATCAAAGCAGAAAGCTGTTTTCAATCAAAGCCTGCAAAGTGCAGTTTTTGGGAAACTTATTTTCTTTGTTGCAAAGGGGTTAGATGAAAAGGCTCTAACAGCCATGTGTGTAAGTTATTGTTATAGTGTTGCGGTCAAACACGACAGGAGTAGTTTAGCTGTACGTAAAAACTGGAGACAGAAAATAAACAGTATGGCTGTTTGACAACTGACAGATCTAAATGTCACTGATTGGCTTTTTAATCATCGTGAGGCTTGTTCAACAATCCATAAAGGCATCATCTGAGAAAAATCACCAGCCTTTTTCAGACGATGTTTTTATGTGCATTAGATTAATAAGACGTGGACAGGAGTTCATCTGTTCACCTCAAAGTTGCCAAAAAGCTTCTTTTCTGTAACATCTGGAAAATCAGACATAGCTCAGCGATGTTTTCTTTAATAGTTATCACCAGTTATCTCATTAACAGGCATGACATCATTCATAAAGCATAGAGATAGAGGCAATAACTTCATCCAGGCTAAGCTAATGGCTAGCAAAAACTATGCCGGTTCGTTTATTATTAATTTTCAGTCTTAGAAAACAACTCTTATAATACTGATAATTTTCACTCCAGTGTGCTGTATTTAACAGTTTTTTTTGTAAGCCTGAAAAATGATGCAGTTCTTGTTTAACTAGCCATTAGCCTAGCCTGGAGAAAAATAATTAACTCTTTCTTCGTACGCTGTTATTCATGACTGGTAGAACAGCTGATAAGGTGGTAATTATTTAGAACAGAGGAGCACAAAGTGGGGCCCGCGGGCCAAATTTGGCCCACCAAGCCATTTGATTTGGCCCACCAACAGTTGCCAAAGTTACAAGGTTGTAACCTGTTATCCTATGTAGAAACACAGTATTTCCGTTGGTCAAATGACTATATAAAGGGGCTGCAGTGAAGGTAGTTTTCATTCATGGTGCTGACTTTAACTAAAAGGAAGGACTTTACTTTAAAAAGTATTTGTATTTCATGTATTGTATTACTGCATTTGGCCCACAGCCCTGGATAGATTTTCATTTTGGCCCTCTCGGGGAAAATGTTTGGGCACTCCTGATTTAGAACTATTAGACAGAACTTCACTTTAAACTTCACTGAACTACCCTTTAACATTGCCTTAATTCATTATGCTAAGCTAAACCTGTCCTCCCTGTTGCTTTTACTTTAAACACCATCAAAGTGTTGTAGTGGCAACTAATGACTTCATTTATCATCCAAACTTTATGCAAAAAGGCAAAAAAGTTTCATTTTAAATGAAAACGTTTCACTGTTTTTGTGAAGGTTTACAACTGACTGAGAGAAATAAAGAAATAAAACAGTGATAAAAACAGAATTACCCAGCATCAAAATAAAAAAAAGCTCTCATCATGTCTAATTCTAACAGATCTTGCGTCACCGTGAGCAGGTGTAGAGTTTGTGTGGCTCGTCAGCACCACCTGTAGTAGTACGGGCAGTTCTTGCGCTCAGCGGAGTCGGCCGTGACGGCGCTGACTATCTGCTCGGCGTCTGTGTTGACCAGCTTGACAGAGTGGATGGTCAGGTGCTGATTGAGGTTAGCCCTGCACTTGGCTGCGTAAGGACACAGGTGACACTTGTACTTCCTCTCTTCTGCAACACAACACACACACATACCCAAGACCCTGGTTAGTGTGAGCGTTTGCAAGGATGAGGTTTTGTTAAGTTGTGCTCAGCCTCTCAGGCTTAGCTGGACCCCGCCTAACCTTTGACTAGCCCCCAAATAATTGTAATTTCCTTTCATTCAAATCCTCACAAGACAGAAAACTTAACACAAATGTATGTCTACAACTAAGAGTTAAAACACGTGACCACAAACATAATTCACCACCTTTTTTAATGAGCAGTATAGAATTTATGCAAAAATGTGTATTCATTTTTTCTCATCACAAAACAAATTAACATAATATGTTTAACCCCCTTAAGCCCGCCCTCCTCAAAAAAACAGACACGAACGCACACATCATTTGCCCCAAGGACATGAAGCCAGGCAACCTTTATGTCGCCGGGGAAACCAAAAAGACCATCACACTGACATATGCCCCTGCTTCTGCTCTCTGTGGTGCGGCCAAGCTGTTCACAACCAACACTCTCAGATGGTGCGTGTGTGTGTCTGTAAAGTGCGCACCCAAAATGTGCGAGCATGTTCAATTGTGCGTGGGGATGGGTGGGGGTGTATTTTGTACACAGGTCTCCATTTGTGGAGCACAGTGATTTTGGTCTGTTATTTTATTATTTTGAGTGGGATGAATTTATTTTAAATACAGGTGCAAGCGCAGATAATTATTAGATTATTTTAACTAACAAGGACTGGGGGGGGGGGCAGCGGAAGATGGGACGGGGCCCGGATGGATCAATGGCGAATGAGGAGGGGCTGGGAAAGGAAACGCAGAGTAATCAGGTCACAAGGGAATGAGGACGCCTCACATTTCTGTGCGTGTGTGTGTGTGTGTGTGTGTGAGGGACTGAAAGAGGGAATCAGTTTGAGCAGCATTGGAATTACAAGTATGCGTGTATGTGTGTGCGCGTGTGTAGACGCTGTGTGGCATCCTTCAAGATGGCTAATTAGACGATAGTTTTCCCAGTGAGACTAATCATGATAGTAATCTCTTTAAAGGAAGGGTAATCTAGTCTGGTCAACCTTATTTACAGCGAGCAGCACGAACACAGCAGCTAACATCTGTGCTGCAGTGGTGCGACAACGATGTTTACCTGTGTGCAGGGACAGGTGTCTGGAAAGGGTCTGCTGTCGACCAAACACCTTGCCGCAGACCGGACAGGGGAAGAGCTGCTCGTGTAATCTCCACTGGGCGATTCCGTTCCCTGGCTCACCGTCATCCTTCTCTGAGTCTGAAACATACACAGATCACTGTACTAAAATACAAATACAAAAACGTTTGAGCTGAACGCTGCAGAGTTGCACAAACGTGAATCAAAACAATTCAACAGCTCTTTTTTGCAAAACAAAAACAGTATTTGTAAGAGTCTTACATGCTTTACACCATATCTCAACACAATAGACCAAGTGTGGAACAATTAATGTGTTGTATAACATATATGGAGCTTTATCATTAAACAAGTCCCTTACTTTGTAAAGCAATGCAATAGATTTAGCTAGTTTTATTCTTAAATTTATATGAGGTTTCCATATCAGTTTCTCATCAATAAAGAAACACCCAAAAACTTCACCTCACTGACTCTATTTATCACTACACCATCAACTCTAGATGGAATGTTAACAGTTCTTTGTCTCTATATCATATAATTAGTTTTATCCAAGTTTAATTATAATTTGTTTAGTTTAAACCAATCTTGTTTTTTCACAAATTCTGCTTGCAATTTCTCTAATATCAGTTCTATGTCTTTACCCAAACAAAAAAATGTTGTATAATCAGCAAACAAAACACATTTGAAGAGCCCTGACACATTAACCACATCATTTACATATAGGATAAACAATTTGGTCCAAGTACAGAACCCTGAGGAACTCCACATGTGATTTCATAGAGTTCAGATATTACATCATGTACTTGTATAAACTATTTCCTATTTTCCAAATAACTAGATATCCATTGTAATGCTGGTCCTCAAATCCCATATTTATTTAGTTTTTCATGTAAAGTGCTGTGGTCAATCATGTCGAATGCTTTCTTTAAATCAATATAAACACTGGCGCAATATTGTTTTTGGTCAATGGCATTTGTTATTTGATCTATCAGTTCCATGAGAGCCATTGGAGTAGAGTTATTGGCTCTAAATCTGTATTGACTGTTACTTAAAATCTCATTTTTAACAATAAATTGATTTAATCTGATTAAAGGTCATATATAGAAATATTAGTATTGTCTGCAAAAATGCTGGGTGCTAAATACATTTGCTGAAGAACCTGAAAGCTAAAAGAAGCACAACACTATCTAAAAGCAACGAAACACTAGCAAAATGCTAGCTAAAATTAGCAAAATAATAGCTAAAAGTAGCATAAGGATGGCTAAAAGCATCAGATATCAGAAATAGAGCATAGAATATAAAATACATATTTTTGAAGGAATTTAAGA